AACCAATGTAGTCCTTCCCAGCAGAAACCCCCCAACCCTGATCTTTACCAGTTTTCTGGTCTTCTGAGCTCTGACCAGAATCTCCCATACAGAACAGCCTAAGGCATTCCAGTGCTACTCTTTCAGGTGACATCACTGAACCTTTCAACTCTTTCCACAAGCCATTCCCAAAAGGTCTTGAATCACGTGGTCAAATAGTCACAGCACCAACCCCACTCTTGGTACCAAATTCTGTCTCAGTTACTTTTCTGTCATTGCTGAGACAAAATACCTGACACTCAAAATTAAGGAAGGAAAGGTTTATTTAGCTGACAGTTTGTGGAGGTTTCAGTGCATAATTATCTGGCTCCAAGGCAGGGTGCCATGGCACAGGGGCAACATTTCAAGGGAGCAGAAGACAGCCAAGCAACAAGAGCAAAAGGGGGAAGAACAAGCCTCTTCTCTACCCTTATATTGTGTGTTGGCTGTCCATCCATGCCATCTCCATGCCCTTCTCTTTCCACAAGCTCAGGATGTTTACAAAGTAAGGACCCTGGCCCCCTGGTGAGTTAAACTTCTAAACTTCTCTAGGTGGCACAATGTATAACCATTACCCTACTGTTGCATTTTCTTTGTTCCTTTTTTTTTTTTTTTTTTTTTTTTTTAAGATGGGATCTGCTATGCAGTAGGCCTTGAACTCATTGTATAGCTGAGGCTGGCCTTGGATGCGCATTGATCTTTCTGCATCAGCTTCCTCAGTACTGTGATTATAGTGAAGCATCACCACATCCAGCTTCTTTTAAATTCTTATTTCCAACTTTTCCTTCACTATTCAGTTTAAATTTACTCTATATCCTTTCTTCCAGTATCCTTGACATTGTACAGTTCATACTGATTTAACAATATGTTAATCAATACCTTATAGCATTTCCTTAAATGATTCATAAATGTCAAATCATTTTATTCTGATCATACCATTCCAATTTATAGGCTATTTCTATTCTCTTAGTAATTTATTAAAAATATAGTTCCATTATAGCACAAGGCCTTTCATAATATCTGGCTGGAGGCAAAGAAGGAAGTAGAGACTGTCCTTCTATTGCTGACCCAATTTCCTGCTTTTATGCTGATGTTCCTTGGTTTAAGCTTAGCCCTTCCTGGTTTGAGTGGAGTATCCCGACTGCCCCAGCGCCCTTGATCTTGCCACTGCTTCTGTGGACCTGCAGCAGAGGTTCATTAAATGAGCCCAAGCACCATGCAGCTGCTGGGTCCTCTTCTGAAATCTCTGGCAAGTAGTCCAACGGACCCCTCTGAGAGATCATAGATGTGCAACAAATGAAGGAACAACAGAGCCAGAGCAACAGTCTTACAGCAAATCTGGAGAACCCACAGTTTTAATTATGTTCCTGTGCACATGACGTGCTGAAGCACTGTCCTGTTTCTGAAACACATGGCATCACTAAGAGTTACACTCTACTTAAATGGAGATTGGGTTGTTTTTCTTCGTACCATTTTTCAGAGAATATTCTTTTTGCTTCAGCTACTACTTCTGTTGTTTGGGGAAGACTTTAAGTAACTCTACAATTTCATTCTTTGGCTCCCAATCTATTCTGAAAAATGTCTTTGTAGATTACCAAATAATCTACTATGTGCTGGAATTTTTATTTTCTGGTAGTGGACCCACAGCCTTTGCACTGAGCCACATCCCCCTCCCCTAACACTTTAAAAAAATATTTGTGCTTTGCCACATCACTAGATTGCCCAGGCTGGGCTTGAATTTGTAAACACCCTGCCTCAGCCTCCTATGGTATTGGGATTATTAGTGTGTGCCACCATGTGCGGGTTTATTTATGTTTTAGACAGGATCTTGCTATGTAGTCTAGGCTGGCCTTGCTTGAATCTCAGGCCTTAGTCTGAGTCCTGGGATTACAGATATATGCAACCACACCATTCTCATGACTGAGTCTTTTTAAAGGATTTACTTGCACTCTTTCTTTAATCTGAAATCTTCTGGAACATGCATGTGCACACACTAAAAACAGAAATGGCACATTATGGGATATCTTTACTTGGAAACAACTTTTTTGTTATGGAAGATAACGATCAAAGCTTGCTTTCTACAGAGAACTTTAGATATTTTCTGGCATATGCCTCAGGACTTCCCCTAGGGGGAATCAAATTATTCCACTTCCAAGTATTCAGATATGAGGATATCTTATTGATTACTTCGCCACCAGTTAAGATTACTGGGCAAATGCGTAGGGCACCCAATTCTTTGGCTTTTAGTTTTCCTCTCTCACATAGATAAATGGATCCATCAGCCAACAGTACTAGAAATATAGAGATAGGAATATTGCAGGTATTATTTCTCTTAGAGTTGCTTTCACTAGAAGAAACATTTAGGTCACCTGAGGTAGATGGTGAAGGTAAAGCAAATTATTTAAATATTAATTTAAATTATTAATTACAGCATACCATCAATTAACGATTTCTCAACCCAGGGTTAACTACAGCATACCATCACAGGCCTTCTGGAATCTCATTTGGATTGCTGTCCTTTCAGGGGTCTGGTAAATCAAACTGCTCTTCATAAAATTTATCTAATAAATATTTCCTCATGCAACAGGGTGATCTAGAAGCTGCTGCCCTGATCAGAGGGCTGGAACAGTTTCTGCCAACTTTGTAGGATCCAGTGGGGCATTTTCCTGTTCACTATTCTGCCGCTCAGTGGAAATAATTTACTTTGTATTAGATTCATCACTTGAGTGGCTCTGGTAGAGGCAAAAACGTTTTAGCAGATTTTGGTTCCAATTCTCTTATGTTAATACAATTTATGAAATTCTCTGTGTAGCTCACCTGAATTGACCAGATTCAACTCTGGAGTATAAGACAGCAAAAGAGGTATTTTGCCTTGACCTCTTAGCATTTCTCTTGGTACTTTGTGCTGAAAAGGTGGAATGACTTGTGGTTATTCATAAATCACCTGGACAAACAAGTATCTGGTTAAAAATTATTTTAAATTTGATACCTTTATTGTACATTATTTCACCAATTCAGAGATAGATTAGGGTGTGGCAAAGCTGGCTGGGGTAGATGTGACCTGTTAATTATAAGATCCTGGGACACATGGGCAGAACAGTTCCCAAAGCCCTGAATGTGGACTTCTTGCAGAACTTAAGTAGGTTTTCAACAGGATGGCCTAGACCTGACATCAGCCTGAGATGTGGGATGTCAGCACGGCCTCTCAGGACCTGTAAAGCAGTTCTCATGGGTTTCCTTAAGGCTTGGAAAGTATAAAGGACACAGATACCAAGACATTGCTCTCATGACTTCTCACGGTAGCCCACGTTCTCAGATGCAATGTATACTTTAATCTTTTTATTTTGTTCTACCCATTTGCTCTGCAGAGCTGGTTTCTCCCGTAACCCATTCACCCCTCACTTTTCAAATAAAATCTTCACATCATTTTTAGCTTCACTTGTCCAATGTTTTGCTCAAGATAAGAATCTGGAATCTAACTCCAGAAGGAGAGTTGAACAACCTGGAACCCTGTAATGTTGGTGAGCCACTTTTAGAAGTAGGCTACCCGATGATAATTCCAACAATCTCAGCATTCTTCTCATTATTTCCTCAAAATATTAAATGTTAAAACCCTGCCTCTTTCTCAGAAATATTTAGAAGCACCTTTAGAAGCATGAGGATCCTCACGTCTTAGAAAGGAAATGGATCAACTGGTGTTCAAGTACGCTGGATTCAACTGTCCATGTGCTCTGGCCCCAGCTCCTTATGGTCCACCGCACTGCTTCCCTCTCAGTACTTGCAATCCCTGCTGCTGTGAACTGTCTTGTTTTTAGATCTGGAGCCAAAGCATCTTTCCAAGAACCTCAGAAAATACTGATTTAGGAAAGGGAACGGAGCTTTAGTGTCAGCATATGTAATTTGCAGATCATCAATATGTTCTGTACTACATGTTCAAAAAAATCTGACCAATCTCCAACTTTCCCTTATGTAGCATTCTTTTGTTAACATTTTCACTTATTGTTATCATGTGGTTTAGACAGAGAAGTCCATTCAGTCACCTCCAGCACTTCATCAGCTTCTATAAATGGTCAGTGAGGTAAGAGAAATTACCTTTTGATACGCTGACATTTTTTCCAGCATGAACTGTGAAATGCCTGTTAGCCTCTTCTGCAAACTCCAGGCTTGGGTCTTATCTTGGCATCCATACATGTTCCACCTGTGGCTACACTAACCATTCCAAGCCTTCATTATCCTCAGGGAAAACTACTCTGAATTCCTAGATCTGTTTATAAGATGGACCTTCAGATGCACTAGGATCCTGATGTCTTGGAAGGGGAATGAATAAAATGGAAGATGCCAGACAGGGACTTTCCTGCTATTATTACTGCAGAAGGATGATGGCTGACTGGTATTAAAACTACATGGTTCCATCAGAATATTACTACTAGCCAAAATAAGAACTTCGTTGTTGGGCTGTTAGGGCTGGGGTCTTGTTAACCTTCCACATTCCTCTGGTGTACACTAGTGCACACTGGTTTGTGAAATAAGCGAAGAAACCGGGCACAGAAGACCGTCTCCCTTCTCATGCTTTATTCCCATACCCTGTGCTCCATTTATGGAGGATATTTCTCCAGTCCTTGCCACTCCCACAATCACAGCAGGTGAAGTTCAGTAACTCAGCCTCCTCTCTATGGAACGTGTAAAGAGACCTTTGGGTCATGAGATTCTATTTAGTTCTTTGTCACACACTAATGAAATCACATAAGAAAAAGCAAACAATACAGATACATGAGAAACATTTACTCCTATGACTCCACAGTGCCCCGGGTGATGGGGTTTATGATTTCCTGTCATCAGGGAAATGAGGCAGGGATGGTGGGAAGTATCAGAATAGTCCTGATGATCTTGGCCAGCAGCATCAGCTTTTCCCTATTTTTCTATAGTGTAATCTTATCTTTTCTTAGATCTTCATGTAAATGAAGTGACCCAGACAATCACAATTCTGTAAATGTTACAGAGCCTTTATATGGTGACACTGTTCCAAATCCCTTCACACAATCCATGTGAAGAGAGGGGAGGGGAGGGTGGACTTGTACACATATAGGGATGCAGATTTGTTCATCATGATTTAATTATGCTTTACGGAATCCCTCAAGTGCTACATCTCACTTACAGCAGAAGTGGTAGGGACCAAACAAGACTGTTGAATAGTAAGAAGGCTAAAGGCAGGAAAAACAGACAAATAAATGCCCACAAGGAAAACAGGCTTCTGACCAGGCCTTCCATTCTGGCAGTGGCTGGCATCTGGTCTCATTCTAACAATGGAGAAGGGAGCAGGTTGCCAAGGTGCATATAAAGCAGCCATGAGGGTTTTGCCCTTGAACTTTCTCCTCTCTCCCCCTAGCATCAAAAGAAAGTGCATGGTGAAGAAGTGAGTCAGACAGTAAAGGATTTACATGTTATCCTGTGTAGCAAAGTCATCAGGATGCAAATCTCCTGTCTCAAGTTCGCGGCTGTGTGCTTTAAGATTTGAGCCCAGAAAGGACAGAACCCTTCAGGCTTACCAGACCTACGGGCTGTCCTTGGCCACTTTAAACATGAGGCTGATAAGTAGTTTTGAGGATATGTAACAGCCTGTTTATTTGGAAAAGAGTGACCACAACCTCTTCAGTCTTCTAATTCTCCTACTTCAACACTCATGAGGTAGAAGCAGCAACACTTCAGTGAAGGAGAAGTCTCAATTCAAGTTGTACTTTGGGTAAAGCAGCTCATGGCACAGAACAAGGTTGGAGATTCTGCTTGAAGCTTTTATTTCATGGTGGGGAAGAGGTGATGTAAGGTCTGGCCGGTCCAGGAGATGCCTTAGAAAAAGTTCCAGGCTGCCCTGAGAGCTTCTCCTGCACCATTCTGGGTGATGGTTGAATATGGATCTTCTCACATGGGTACCTCACTAGGAGGTCTTTGCTGAGTGTGTCCTCTGGTGCCTGATTAAATGATATCCTCTGCTGAAGCTTTTCCCACAGGTAGGGCAGGTGAACGGTTTCTCTCCGGTGTGTGTGCGCTGATGCCTGACCAGGTGGTCCCTCCGACTGAAGCTTTTCCCACATTCGGTGCATTGGCACTGCCTCACTGAGGAATGTCCTCTCAGGTGCTTAGCAAATGTTTCCCTGTGGTTAAAGCAGCGCCCACATTCACTGCAGAGGTAGAGCTCCTCAGCTGTGTGTGTCTTCCGGTGTGCCAGATACCGCCTGTGGTCACTGAAGTCCTTTCCACACTCTCCACACAAGTAGGGTTTGCTTCCAAGGTGGATTCTTTGGTGTGTGGTTAACACAGATTTCTGGCTAAAGCTTTTGCCACAAATAGTACAGAAGAAAGGTTTTTCCCCTGTGTGTGTCCTTTGATGTCTGACAAGGTCTGAAGCCCAGCGGAAATGTTTTCCACAGTCGTCACATCTATAGGGTTTCTCCACAGATGGTGTTCTCTCCGTTTGGATCAGTGGGGAGGTCTTGTCCATATTTTTCCGATTTAGTGGATATTTGTAAGTGTTTATCTTGTGAACTTTTTGGTGCCTGGCAAGATGTGAGCTCCGTGTATAACTTTTTCCACATTCCATACATTTATAGGGCTTCTCTCCTGTGTGAGTTCTCAGGTGTCTAATAAGGTGAGAATTACATGTGAAGCTTTTCCCACATACAGTACAATCATGATGTCTCCCTAGCAGGGAGTGCACAGGCATGGCTTCCCGAAGATTCCTGAAACTATTAACTTGAGAAATATTTGTACCAAATCTTCTTTCATTAGTTCTATCTGGATTATCCTCAAAGATAATTTCCCAATCTGGAGTCCGGTGAATTTCTGGATCTCTCAAAATAGACCTATCCATATCCTCCAAACTGAGATCTTGCTCGACACACTCTTCCTCCTCTTCACTCCTGTCTCCTGTAGAAGGGGTGAAAGGAAAAAGGAGAATTACAATGGTGACAATGCTTTCTACACAATGGGGGGATTGTATAAAGGGTTTTGAGGGTAAGATCATATTGAGAAAAGCATATATTTCCTAAATGTAAAGTGGAGAAAGAAGGAAATAACCAACTGAATGCCCATAATGGCCCAGGCATATTCTTATGTTATGACATCAACAAAACTTGGCATGGGCCAATATCATCACCCTCAGCTTACAAATGCAGAGGCTGAGGATCAAGGATTTAAGAGCTGTGTAGGAAATGGTATAGCAGTGATTCACAAGTTTAATTGTTTCATATTTCTTTGCACTGCCTAGCCCTCAAATAAATGTTGAGAAGGGTGAAGAGGAAAATGACAGAAGAGTCTGGCTTTCAGAGGGAGATGACAGCAATGGCTGACATGCTGGAAGAACCAATGAGGGGGCCCTAGGAGGAAAGAGAAGCACTGGCTAGAGGAACTGCCCACTTAAGAGTGGTAAGACCCTTTCTGTCATTCCTCACCTGTGTAGGTAAAACTCAGGATTTCTGGCTCTTCAGGCTCTTGAGGCTCATGGATATCTGGGACCTGAGGCTCTTCTTCTCTAACCTGGGAGATATCATCTAGTCTGGGGATTGGAAATGCTGCTCAAGAAAGGGAGAACAGGACATCACGACTCGTTCAACACTTCCCTGAGTTAAGAACATATTTTCTCTGGTTGGTAGACTGCAGACCAAACATAGTTGGTCAACACTTTGGTTTCTTCTAACAAAATACTGTCTTTTTTGGGCCTTTCACTTGCAACTCAATAATTATTTCAATTATGAAAGGGTAAGCCCTTTCTTTATATTTAGGAAAGCAGGTTATCTTCTACTCTTTCGGTTGTTTGAAAAGTTATATGCTTACCTCAAATATTTCTGTACTGAGCCTATAACTATAGATTTTTTATTAGAAGTTTCCATCCATGTTTCCAAGCATTTAATCTCTTCCTTCTAACCTGGAAGGATACCATCTGCTTTGCCTAATTAGCCTTTACTTTCACTGGTGGGGTAAGCATCAAAGACATTCAAGTGCATACAATCTAAGGTCCAAGATCCCCCCAAATTTCTAAGAGGAAAAAGATCTCTGTGCTTAAAATGCTCTAGAAACATGTGAAATTCCTTACACAGAGAGACCACAATTCCACAATCTTCTTCCAAGACATATTCTCCATAGAATTCTTTCTGTGTGGGGTCCAGATCACTCCACTGGTCCTGGGAGAAGCATACAGCCACATCCTTGAATGTTACCAGTCCCTGAATTAACACAAGGATGAAATCAGAATGCGATGCTTCTGGTAGACTCATAGTTTGTTCCAAGTTGAAGTCATATGTATAAGCAGAATCTATCCAAGAGACAAAAGGAACTCTAATAGGCTATGAGGTTTCCTCTCAGGAAGTTGTGCCCCCACTTGTCTCACTTCCTGACTTTCTACTGCTGGCAAAGCACTGGCCTTACGCTAGCCCCACCAGTTCCCTGGTTTCCCTGAGGACTAGCCTATATTTTTTGTTCTTCGTTAGAGTATTATTTAAAACTCAAGAAAGTTCATTGTTCAACTTTCTGTTTGATGTTTTAATGATACACTCACCTCTGCAAAAATTCATCTTTTCCTAAAAGCTGTCCTTAATTAACTCTATCTCCTATCTAATCATCCTTTCACTTACATTCTATAGCGTAAGACTGTTCCTCAGCTAGACAATAATGTAAAACCTTAGATGAATTCTCTCTCTCCCTCTCTGGCCACATAATTTAGTTTCAGGTTTCTGAACATGGTAAATGCCTTATAAATGTCATGGCAGTGAAATCAGCCATTTTATAAATGACGAGCAAATGTACTCCTAAAAGCAAAACCCCTTCATTTAACAACTTCAAAGCTGTACTGGAATGGTAAAAAATAATCCCATTTTTGTTAGTCCTTCTGGTCAGTGACAAAAAAAGAGGCTGTAGAGTCTGCAGATCCAACAGAGAGCATTATAATTTATCTCATCTTTTCCTCTACCCTTCCATATACCTGCAGAACTGAGAACTTAAACTGCTAAAGAAGACTGGATCCCACCTGCTTTTGTTAGTTAACATTCAACAGTTCTTTCAACAAACTCTGCTGTATGGAAGGAACTCGGGCGCACCTGTGACAAAGCAGTCAGTAGGGCAACCACCTCTGGGTCTCCAGAGTCTCCAGAGTGCCTCTCTGCAGGAGGGTCTGGAACCTCTAAGCAGAAAAGAAAGCAAGGAATCAGCAACATATGGTGCACTATGATAAATGGCAAACACCCAAGCACCGCCTATCACCTTTGGTGGGATGCGGCGCTAACTCCCATTATAGGAATCAGGAATCTGGTCTAAGGTGCCTCCATCTAGAAGCTGATCAGAACACCGAAAGAGCAATCCAAAACATCACTATTTACGCCTGGCCCCATTCTGGTGGCATTCTAGCTGGTGGTGTTGCTTCTCAACCTCTGGGATTCTGTGACTTCTCTCCATTACAGTCCGCACAGATTCCCTCCTCCCTGTACTTTGCTACAGTCTCGTCTTCCTGCTCAGGCTTCCCACCGTTCTCCTGCAGGGGCTGGAACTCCTCTTCACAGTGCGGGCTCTGCTGCTCTGGTGTCCCCTGATCTGGGCTCTGGTTGGTTTCCTCATGTGACTGCTCAAGGGTTGAAGTCTGTGTTGGGTCCTGTAGCTCACTGGGTGGCTCAGGCTCTGCCCCTAGGTGCACTGTCTCCTCTGACAGGACTTCCTGGCCATGAACATGGACGGTCACCTGGGAAGAATTCCAACTTCCAGTCACCATGGAGTCAGGAAGAAATTCCAGGTTATCATCAGAGCTTACTTTAGAATCCACCTATGGAAAAACTCCCAGATGGACCCAGATGAGCAAAGGTTTAGTTCCACCAGGACATGCAAAGAGCTGAAAATGACTCACCAGGACAAGGCAGGAGGCATTCAGGAGTTGTACTGCTTTCTCACTTGCTTCAACCTTTGCTCATATTACCCAGAGCTTTGAGGTCTCCATCTTTCCCACCTCCACCCACCCTGCCTGAAGTTCTCTTGCCATCTGCCTCCCCAGCTTACCATTCTGGAAGGGGGTCTAAGATTGAGGGTCTAGGAGACTCTAGAGGAAGTCATAAAAATCTCTTCCCCAGGAACCTGAGTTTCAACATCCAACGAAAGAACCAAAGCCATGTCCCAGAAAGTCACACATGCACACACACACACCCCTGCCCTATAGAGCTTATGGACCTAAAAGCAATCCAAGGGCAGGGCTGACTAATGGGTAGTTTAGGGCAGCCCTGTAAGTCTTCCCCACTAATTCAGCTTTCCAGTAGACAGTCCCCCTCCACGTCACACAGATCAGGACTCCCCCTCCTCACCCACCGCCTTGGTCTCCTGGGCTGTTTCTGCAAACCCTCCACCAGCGTCACTGCCTCCTCGCCACTCTCTGGCCGCTGGCCCCGCACCCAGCTCTGCAGTTCTCCTGGTAGGACAGTGAGGAACTGCTCCAGCACAAGCAGCTCTAGGATCTGCTCTTTTGTCCGCCTCTCTGGCCTCAGCCACTGGTGACACAGTTCTCGGAGCCTGATGAGAGCTTCTCGAGGGCTTGCTGCTTCCTGGTAGCGAAAGCATCGAAAGTTCTGGTGAGAGGTCTCCAGCACAGGGTCATCCCTCTGCAAGACAGACTCTGGCCTGCAGGTGAAATCATCTTCCAGTTTCACCATCAGAATCCCCTCTTCTTCCCAAAGATCCTGGTCCTCTGGTTCCAAGGCTGTAGCCATTTCCTGGATCTGGGGTGGGTTCACACCATCTAGCTCTCAAACTGGCATCCTTCCGTGTCTCAACTTGGACACCCTGAGGGGTTTCTCCCAAGGGGCCTAAAGTAGAGAAGCAAAACAACAGCATGAGCCTAAAATTATGCACAGGGGTAACAATTCTGACTTTAGTCAACATCCTCTATCCATGTCTTCAAATGAGTGAACCAGCTTTTCCCCAATCTCCATAACCTTTTTTACAACGAGGCATCACTGGGATAGGCTAATCCATGATTTAAGGTACGGTCCTATACTCCCTTTCCTAGGCAAGGTTCATATCCCATATGAAAACATTGAATTCCTGTGTTATGAATACTACCAATTCCATCTCATCTCTGACTTGGTTTCCTCCACTTCCTGCTGACTGCTTCAGTTTCACAGCACTAAAGCACTAACACCACTGGCACACACACCCTAAAAGGTAAACATTATCTTGTTAAGGTAGTTCAATTGGATGACCTATGGATTCTCAAACTTCTAAGTGTTCAAAACTCATTATTCTGGCTCCCAAGCCCACCCTTCTTCCCTCCTTGGCTGAGATCACACTTGCTAAGTAAACACTCAATTGTGTAGTCTTTGGATTTGATTTTGATTCTTTCCCACTGCTTACAGCTCATTAAACCAATTCTACCCCTTAATCCCTAAATCTTGTTTCCTCCACTATCTCCCAAAGGGCTGACGTCTGCAGTTTCAGCATTCACCATCTCTTGCCTGCACACTGGCAGGACTTCCTAACTGCGCTCCCTGTAGTATTCAACTGTGAGCAAGTGCAAGACGACGACCCTGGAGCTTTTGAAATGCATTATTCAAGAACATTCTGATGCCGTCAGTCTACACAACTGAATCTTTAGCAATGCTACCTGCTGTTCTAATGTGACCTGATTGAGAAATACTGAGCAAGATGTTAAGAGGCAGTCCCGAGTCAGACTCCCTGGGTTAAATCTAGGCTCTATGGTTTACTAGTATGGGACCCCAGGCAAATTTTTCTCTTGTTTATACTGGTTTCCCTGTCTACAGAGTGGAGACAGTACTGATAGCCATCTAAGCGTTATTATGAAGATTAACTGCAGTACTCTGACACTCTTAGAAGAGTGATGACACTCTAGTGTTAACTACTGTCTAAATTACAGTTCCAAATACTTATGCAATAGTTACAAACAGTAACTTGTTAGTAAGATTAATCCCAAATCCTGGCCAAGGCACATGAGTTGCTTCATATTCAACCCTAACCTAGTTTTCAAGCCCTGTCCCTTAGCCTTTTCTGTTTACTGTCTGCCTACACCGTAATGAACACTCTCTGACTGTGTGCCTTTTCAGGCCTCCAGGTGCCTTGTAAAGGCTGTTCCTCCCCTCTTCAAAGCTGAAAGGAATCCTGATATTTTTTTTAACAGGTTCTTTTCCGTTCTTTAGGTTAGGTTCCTATCAGTTCTTACTGGAATTACTACAACTGTCACCAAATGTGAGCTGCCTGCCTCCAGCTGTGACCTTTGGGTTGCCAGCTACAGTATCACCAAAGTGAGGTCTCCTGGCAAATTTGGTTGTCCCTCGACTTAAAGACTCTTCGATCACTTCTGATAGGTGAACAAACTTCTAAGTGATCTATTAAATGACCTTCACCTTGTTCCCTTTGCTCTCCTTTCTAATCCTTTTAGAAAGACACACACACACACACACACACACACACACAATGTGCACACACGCACGCGCGCATGCACTCGCACAATGAGTTTGCAAATGTGCCTCGCTCCTTTCCCCCACTGGCCCTTATTTTTATCTTCTTAAAAACTTCTTCTTTTTATTAGTACATACTTGCCATTTGATCGCATTCACCAGGGAATTTGTACCTGTACATAACACATCACAGTTCCTTTTTCCCATTCCCCTCTCCTCCCCTCAACCCTTCTTCCCCTCCCCATTTACACAAGCTTTGGTTCCATTTTTTTCTCCTTTCCTTCTCTTCTCCTTCCTCCCTCCTTTGTTCCCCTTCCCATTTGAAGATGCTTTTCTACTCCCCAATATCTGTCCTCCACTATGCTCCTCACTTACCTTCTGGGTTTCTCACACAAGAGAAACAATGTGATACTTAAACTTGCCACACCCTATCATGCTGCCCCTTCTCTGCATCTTTCATTTGGTTAAACTGTTCTTATCTTTCAAGACATAGCTTAGGGTCCATCCCGTCTAAGACCTTTTCTTCAATTCATTCCCCCTAGTGTTAGAAGACATGGTTAGAAATCACTTAAGTGCTTCTTGACCAACTCAGGCACATGTCTATCATAGTACCTGTCTTGCAATATAGCCATTTTTCCCATGAAACTCCTTGAAGTCAAGGACACTGTTTTTCATCTTTCTCCAACATCTATAATACAGTGTATAATGAATGCATTTAAAATGAATAAACCTTCAATCTGAAGTTTTCTCCCCACTTTAACAAGAAGCAATCTTTTCCTTCATAATGCCTCGATTTTCTGTTATTTTGTTTGTTTGTTTGTTTTTCCAGTACCAGGAATTGAGCTCACGACCTTGCGCTTGCCAGGCAGGCACTGTGCCGCTTAGCTAAACCTCCAGCCCTTCTACTTTCTGTTTAGATTGAGCCTTATTCTACTTTCTGAAATGTCCTTCAAGTCCATCCATGCCTTCATCTCCAGTACCATTCCCCTGACTGAGCCACTACAACCCACCAGAAGATATTAGAATAGGGCCTTTAAAAAGTTACCATGGGGGCTGGGGATTTAGCTCAGCCGCACAGAGCCTGCCCGGCAAGCACAAGGTCGTGAGTTTGATTCCTGGTATCAGGAGAAAACAAAAAAACAAAAAAAAAAGGAAAAAAAAGAAAAACTGACCATGTCCTCAATGCCTAATCAGCAGTGCCACATTAACAGGCACTTATATGCTCAGTAAGTGACTCGGGACATGGTTCAAAGTTCACGACTGGTATGCTGTCCCTACCTCTAGACCATAGTCCACATATAGCCCAAGGGATCCTGCATTATCAGGTATTAGAAACTCAAACCCTAGATACCATATTTTGGTGTGAGATATATTTGACCATGGTGAATGAATTTGTATTTAATTCTCTAGCCTTCCTTTCTACTCTGAAGCCTACACAATTCCCTTTTAGTGTCTGAGAGATAGGAAGAAGTGGAACAGGCAGGTAGAGCAGGCATTTATAATGGGCAGGATCCTTCATATTATTTCTCCCTTTACTGCTGCGAAAAGATCTCAGCAGTGAGCCATCTCACATATAAAATCTGACAACAGCTTTGTATTATCCTTTGTGTAACAAACTCTTTAAAACATGCCATTCAAGGCCCTTCAAGACCTGGCCCCTACCCACCTCTTTCTCCCACAACTGCCCCTCCCACTGATAGCCACTGCTTGAATTACTATTCCAGGTTCTCTTGCCCTCACTGGGCTTTTCTGATGAGGTTCATACCATCTGAAATACCCTTTTTTATATTCTTCATTTGTTTAACTCTACTCATTCCTCTGACCTCACTCTTCTAGATGCCTTCCCTGAAATCCTGAGACTATTCTGCCAAAGGAATGGAGCCTCCTTGTATCACAGCAGGAATTGTGTTGCAAAAAACTGCTCCTCTGGCTACGGGATCTAGGGGAGAATAAAGCTCCAGGGGTTGGGACATGCTGTGCTCTGCCCCATGCCTGGCACACAAGAGATCTCATTGCATATGTCACGAATGCAGAGAACACTCAATGAGTTTTTTCAAGTCTTGTCTTTAGGTCAGAAGTTGTACTAATCCCTATTTATTCATTTGACCACTGAATGGTGTGGTAGATAAATAAATAAAGAAAAATGTATTGTTTGCATTTTGAGTAAAACAACACTCTTAGTGGTTCTAAAAGAAATGGAACCACAGTGACTCTTTGGGTTGCCCCGGAGATGATCCAAACGTAAGTCACACAAAACTGGGCATCTGAAAAAGAAACTGGTTTCCTCTGACCACTGAATCAACTTTAGTAAGCACAAAAGCAGACATTGAATGATATAATGCAACTATAGTACTGATTATTTATCCACACAAAGCTTCCTAACACTTTCCCTTTCTACCCATATTCTCCCCCTCCAAGGCAGGAGGAGATAACTGAACTGATACATAGGGTCTTCTGCCTTAATAGAAGGACATCTATTGTCTTAAAAGTTCAATCCACAAACAACTACTAAGCCTCAACTCCATGTCCCCCACTATTTCAGGGGCTGGGCAGAGATAAAGATTAAAAATGCATGGGTAAGAAACGGTAGGGACTTTAATAACTTTGGGAATTCACAGCAAAAACCTACAATATGGATACAATTTATATGTTCAAAATGGGAAACCTATCAAGAGAATTAAGAAAAATCAAAAGGAAAAGTTCATCAGCATCTCCTCTTCAAGTGGGCATAAAGAGATGAAACACTCAGAACTGTTCTTTTAAAAGCACACGTAATTTTACAAAAGAATTCAGACCTCTGTGGTGTAAATACCTACAAAAGAATAGATCACTAATGTCTAGCACAGAATTACTCACAAAGTCTTTTGGTCCCCAAATCTCTGCAATGTGTATGTCACAAAGTTTGGCCAAAGGTAGTAGTTCTCTAAGTGATGAATCCAGATCAGCATGTACACCACCTAAGGCCTTGTTAGAAATGTAAACTCTCAGGTCCCAAAGTAGACTACTACCTGAAACTCTGGGGGTGGGTCCCAGCAATCTGTGTTTGACAAGCCTCCCAGGTGCTTTAAGTTAGGACAGTAAGTTTGAGAACCACTCCCTATTGCAAAGGAAGTAACTTCAGGTTTATACAGAAAGGAATCACCTTTTCTAGCATTGGTCAAATTAAAGAAGAGGTCTGCTGATGACAGGACAGGAAGCAAAAACAGACAAGTCTAGAACTACTTCATGTCTGTATCAAATTAACTGGACAAAAATGCTGTAAACCTGTAACTTACCTCATCTACAAATGTCATGCCCAAGAGTCCCTCACATTGCAGTACACCTTGTGTGCTCCTGAACTGATTCTCTACTGCAATATAGCGAACGGACAAGGACAAAGGGGTACAGCTGGAGGAAAAAGGGGAAAAGATTAAGAATCGCGGGTTTCTAGTCCTAGGAGGAAAAAGTCCCATCCTCCCTCCAACCCTGCCCACCCTGCTGTGCTAGACAATAATAGCGGAAAATTACCTAACAAATGGCCACGGACACAAACTGCTCTTTTGACACACACTTCTCACCAACAAGCCTGCCGTAGCTATCCCACCACCTCTCTGAAGGCGCTTTCTGGATGAAGGTCCATGGGGCAGCTTGGAAGAGAAGCTGGGAGAGGGAAGGAAGGATGAGGTACTCCACTACATTCCTTATCACTTCTGAGTGTAGCTGCCCTGGGTGTAACCTGCAGAATACGGACAGAAAAAGCAAAGGTTCTAAGCCTAGCCTCTCAGCAAGAGCCAGGATATGGCATGCAACCCGCAGGACCAAAGTGATTCAAGAAGACCTGGGCTTAAGACCTTCCCTTAAGGGGCTGCCAGCACGAAGACCAGGGAAGACATTAAGATGTGTGAAATAAGACCATCCGCTGCTCAGGAGGAAAAGATATACTATGCCATGGATATACTGTGCGTTCTGATGGCACAGAAATCAGCAAACTTTTAGTCCTGCAGACAAGGGCCAGGTGGTCTACTCCTGCGGTAGCAAGGGCAGTGTTGAGAAGCGGCGCCCGAACTGGCTGCTAGGGGCGAGGCGGGGATGCTGCAAGTGGAGACAGCACCCACTACTTTAAGGAGAAGGAAGCTCAGGATCTGTCAGAGCGACAGCTGAAAAGCCACAGACCAGAAGAGCTCCAAAGCCTAGCATGGTCACAGGTGATACGATCACAGGTGATAAGATCACGGGTGAGGGTGCCTTGCAGGTGCCGGAGGAGGGGCTGGGGTGCAGGGAGTGGGAGCTCTCCGGGGGGCAGGGTGCCTGCTGGGAGGATCCTTGAGCAACTGAGAGACGGGGAAAGAAAGGCTGCGGAAAATCCAAGGGCCTAGACCACCCTTCCCTCGGCTCCGAGGGAGCAATAGGAGGACCGGGCTGCTTTCCCGCAGGCCCCGGGAGGGGAAGGAGGGCGGCGGCTGGAAGGACAAGGAAGCCGGGAGCGCCGTGCGCGCTTCCGAGGTTCTGGCTCCGGCCGCCAGGAGACGCGGAGGGCACAGCGCCGGAGCCCGTCAGCACGCCGCCGCCACCCCTTCCTTGGGACAGCGATTTCCCCCGGCTCTGGGGGGCGGGGTCTCCGGTCCCTCCCCCCTCCTCCTCGCCCTACCCGGCGCGGCCCGCACCGGCCCGGCCCGGCCCCCAGCACTCACGGCTCAGGCAGCTCCGGCGGCTCCTCCCCTGCTCGGGGCTCTCCCCCACCCTCTCCGGGCCGAAACCGCGGCGCCGGATCCGAGCCGCGCGGGGCCTAGCGGGTCAGAACACGTGGGGCCTTTGCGCCCGGAACCGGAAGGGCCGCCCGCCCCGCCCCCTTTCGGCCCTGGAGCCTTTCTAGGCTGTCGGAGGTTTGGTTTACTCTGTGACCCACTTGGGTTGCCTTTGGAGATTGCGTAAAAAAGAAAGGTCACTCCCGGAGTCCTCTCCTCCCCCGCCCTGCCCTCTGTGCAATGAATCAAAAAACACTCTGGGCCTTCAGTTCATACCCGTTTCTACTGCAAGGTTTTCTCATTTCTTTTTAAATGTTTTTGATGCTCTGTGTTTGTTTTGATTTGGTACCTATTATTTATTTTTCCTTTGAATGCTCCTTCAAAACTTGGTAGAGTAGACAGCAAATTTGGGTTTGAATATTGGCTCTTCTTGCATTTACTTTGGCAGGGCCTCCGGCAAATCTCTCCACTTTCAGAACTTAAATGTCTCACTTGTAAAGCGGGCATCCTACTACTATTGTTCTGACGACTGAATGACACATTTCATAGGAACTGTTTGGAGCACTGTGGAAGCTCATGGCGATATTGTTCTGTACTTTTCTTTGAATATTTCTTTGCTGTAAGACTTATCTTTGACCCCATTTGTTCATTATTTTTGCCTGAGTGGATGACATTTCTCCCTATACCTTCTACTTTCCTTTATTCTCTTTTGCCCTGTGAATCACCATTCTCTAGGTCAGCGGACCTTCTCTTCCCATCCCTTTCGTGTATATTTCATTTCACGGGATGTGTTGCTGCAATCTGTTTGCCATGCTTTGAACTGAACTTATTAATCACTTTTGGTAGAGGGAGATGTGTATTGGTGTTATTCAGAGTAACAAGGCAGGCTGGGCAATCCCTACATCTGCCCCCCAGAAGCTGGAAGGTGGTGGTATAATTCAGGTCCAGGCTGAATACCTGGGAACAGAGGTAGAAGGGTGTCTTAGTTATATTTCTCCTTGCTGAGGCAAAATATCCAACATCCAAAGTTAAAATAGGAGAGGTTTATTTAGCTTACAGTTTTTACAGGTGTCAGTCCATAATTAGCTGGCTTCAAGACAGGGTGGCTTGGAAGAGGGGAATCGCAGAGAACAGTCAGGGCACCAGCAAAGAAGAGAGAGAAGACTTTTTGTGTCCCTTATATTGTGTCCAGGTTACTGGGATTAGAGTGGTGCCAAACCAATCAGTAGATTGATTTAGCAATTACACACCCTTAATCTCAGCTTCACATACTCTAGATTCAGTCACCTCTGAAAAAGCCCCACCAATGAGGGCATGAGGCTTTGAGGGGGACATCTAGACACAAGCCATAACAGAAGGTGAGGTAAATGCTGATGTAAGACCTGGAATCTGAAGGTGGGAGAAGTGGGGGCTGTGATGTCAGGGCAGGAGAAGCTCGATGTCTCAGCTCAATTTGATTTTCCTCTGCCTTTTTCTTCTGTTCTGGCCTTTCACTGGATGAGGCCCACCCATTCTGGTGAGGTTAATCTTCTTTACTCAATCTACTGTTGAAGGGCTAATCGCTTCCAGAAACACCCTTGCAGACACAGCTAGAAATAATATTTTACCAGTTATCTGGGCATCTCTTAGCCCAGACACATAATTTTATGAAACATACAATTAATCCTCTCAGAAAAAGAATGTGCAATTCATGAAAGCCTATTGTGTGCTCAGTGTGATAGAATAGATAGTTACCTAGAAATGAGTTGGACCTGCAAAACTAGCACAAGGTCCTAAAAAAATTCTAAAAAGGGCTGTGGTCTAGATTCCTGAGTTTGAGGTGCCCAGGACTCCCAAGAAAAGCATTTTATACCCTCTTGCAAATTCTCCCTTCTTATCCAGTCTTATACTTTTTGATACCACATAGTTACACCCTGGGGTCTGTCTTGGTTACTTTTTTTCTCGCTGCTGGGACAAAATACCTGATGCCCAAAATTAAAGAAGGAAAGGTTTATTTTGCTTACAGTTCGTGGAAGTTTCAATCGGTACTTGGCAGATCATAAGGCAGAGCGGCACGTGGCAGAGGGCTGCATCACAGGACGGCAGCCACAGCTAAGCAACAACTCACTTACACTGGGGAGGAATGGGGAGGAATGCCCCCAAGCAGCTTCTTCCTCTCCCTTACATATGCAAACTATCCACCCCAGGGTGGGTGTAGCTCTCACACCCACAGTCATTCAACTCTAATAGCCTGCCCCATGTCTGCATGAGGCATTGGGGGGGACACACAGACATAAACCATAACAGGGTCACACCCAAGTTGAACCGTAATGAGCTGGTTGACACAATTAGGCCTCGGTTACGTGCATTCATATTTGTATTGTGGCTTTGAGCCCCCCCCTCCCCCCATGAGCTTTGGCCACTATGCTTCTTCCAACTAAGGCTATGTAGTATAAATGCAAAACTTCCACTTCCCACAGAAGGTTGGAGACTCATAGTTGATTTGAAGAAACCCTATTAATTCCCACTTGCTATCACTCCCCAAATTCTAGGAAAATGAAAGAAAACCTACCTCTAAACCTTGTAGCATCTGCCAGCTCTGGGCACCTTTTGCTTTCTCTTCTTGAGGGTGTGCTTACATTACTGAGAGTATCACTGCTGCCTCTGTCCACTTGGACCTCTTGCAAGTGTATTATCCTTACTTATAAAATTAACTTTGTTCAGAGTATGTGTTTTTTTTGTTTCTTAATAAACATGCTTGCTAAAAACCTTTCCTTTCTGACTCTGAGCCCTGTCTGTGGATCTTTGCCCAGTGAACCTTCCTAGGGAGGATCCAAGAGCCCAAACCAGCATACAACACAGAGCAGCAACCAGCCCAGGATGACTCCAACTTTCCAGTAACACATTTTTTTTTTGTATAAATCTCATTTGATATTTTAAAATTTTAATATTAAGTGTATAAAATACATAAAAATGTTGCTGTAAACATTCAAAACAAGTCAGTATTAAAGAAGAAAATTATTTAATAACATTTGTTAAAGCACAGCAAGAAATACTTTATTCAGGACCATCATAATAGATATAGTTTAGGACCACAATAGTGTAAAAATAGTTTATTTAGTTAGCTTACAAATAAGGCAGCTAGCTATGGAAAAGGCCTGAGATACAGTTGGGTGGTTAGCTACACTGGTAAGACTTAAGAGTAGATAGTAAACTAGATATGTGATTTATTTTTGTGAGTGATATACATTGAAAACAAAAGTATGAAGTATTTATATAATAGAACTACAGAGGATATAATCTATATGTTGTGTGACTTGAGTTCTATCAACAGAGTTATTAGTCATCTGTTTCTTCATTCATGAATGATTGAGCAACTGCTGTCACAATAATTTAAATACATACATACATATATAATATATGCACACACACACACACACATATATATATATATATATATATACATGGAATTATAGAAGGGGATTGATTAGGCTTATGGGATTATAGACAGATAGTCCCCAGTGCCAGTCTGCATGCTGTAGGGCAGAAGTGGCGTGGCACAGTGGCATGGCAGAGGAAAGCTGCTCATGGCATGGCAGAGGGAGGCAGAGGGGGTGAAAGGAATGTTGTAGGCAACTGAGTTAAATAGAAATATTATGGACAGTCAGATAGGGCTGGGCCTTGAAGAGCCGGTGCAGAAGATGAGACACCTTGTAAATGGAGGGACAGGCACCTCCCATGGGCCAGACCTCAAGACAAAAGACTAAACAGATGCACCCACATACTTCCCTAGGGATGGACATCAGGGACTGATATTCTTAATAGGTATCAATCACCTTGAAAAAGCCAGGAAGAGTCACTAACCCAACCCCCTACAGAAACAGTCCCTGTTCTGTATTCATGTCTGCTTGCTATGAGACTCACTTCTCCATTTGATCCCGATTTAATCAATTTTACCTGAACAATTATACTTGTAATCTTATTGATTGACCATAGTTTTGTCCCACTTCATGCCCACCTTTTGAGTTCCCATTTTTCCTCACCTTGGACCTGCCTCAGCTTGTGGTTTTACTCTATCAAATCCCTAGGAAAAGCAGGGTCCTTGGCAACACACTTGGGCCCCATTCTGTCCCTCTCTTGGACAGAATGTTTATCCTTTAGTAAATATATTCTGCTTTTAACCTCCATTGTTCCTAAAATTCATTTTTGACTTTAGAGAACATGAACTCATCCCAGACATCTTTCAGGTTGGGAGTTTCTCTCCCCCATATCAAGAATATCTAGGTAGAGAGAGAAACCCTTCTAGGCCATGAGCACATTGACCCTTCTCTTCTGACCAGCCCCTGCCTCCTAACAAGTCACTTATAAGCCTCTCTAGTCCAACTGTAGGTAGATGGATATGCGTGGTGGGAACAGAGTGAAATTTTGAAATTTTCCACCCTGGAGACAAACTTCCCTCTTTACATATGCTAGAGGAAGGCAGAAAGTACCCTAGAGGCAGGAAGGGTGGGAATTAAGGAGACCCAAGCAAAGAAACTTTCCTTCTTCATTTTAACATATGTACGTGGAGGGTGAAAATGCCCCAAAGGCAGAAAGCCTGGGAAAATAAACAGGAGCCTAAGAAGCTGTGTACTCTTGTGAGCCATCTGGCCCTCTTTTGGGCTATCTTTCCTATTTTACAATAAGTTCTCTTCTCTGTAAGCTAAGATTCTGTTCGAGTGCATGGTCACTCACTATACAAGCTGGGCAGGCTGTGTGATATCTCCTCTGTTGGCTAAGAACCAGGAAAATTCAGGTAACACAATCATATTCCAAAATCCCTTCCTGTGAGTACATAAGGTGTCCAGGGGATCAATGGATATAAACTATAACAATTCATAATAAATTAATTGTGATTATTTACTTAATTAGGATTTGCTAAATTATGCTTGTAGATTAACACCAGGTCCAGTGTGCTATGATGACTGGTAACTGGGAGTCTTCATCCTGGTGGTAGCACTGGTAGAGAGGTGGTAGGGAAAGCTCTTTTGAGCAGTAACACTTGAGCTGACCCTGTAGGATGACCAGGCTGGGTGGGATAT